TCTGCTTACACGTGACAAAAACTATTAAAATAGGTTGAAATATCACTATTTTTCGCTCTCACCCTATCTTTCTCTCTCTCTCTCTCTCTCTCTCTCTCTCTCCCTCTCTCTCTCCCTCTCTCTCTCTCTCTACGTGTATATTATTATTAAAATCAAACGTAGCAATGGTTATAGAAATATTTTGTTTACAAAGTGCGCGAGATTTTTTTTTCGACATAGGTGGTCCAGATTCTGACGTCCGTTTTCATGGCCCTTATACAAATGGCTCGTCACTGATATAACACTATTGTAAGGTTCATTTGACATTTTACAAATACCGCAATGATAGTAATATTATATTTTATTTCACCGATAAAGCGTGAACCATAGCGTGGGTGTATTTATGGGATGGGACGGAATGATCAATAAATGCTATTCAAGTGGTGACCCTTAACGATTTTCGAGACAAGCAGATGCTGACATCCCATTTACAGTGTAAATCCGAGTTGCAGTCATACGTTAATATATTTGAATATTACTCATTTGACACGCTATTTTAAAATATGATACATCACGATAGCATTCTTACATATCGTGTACATACGTTTAGTGTGAAATTAATTGACTTGAGTAAGTGAAATCGATTTATTTCTAATTTTAATTGTTACACGATATACAATAAAATTTTATATTTTTTTCAAAAAAAAAAAAAACCGTGGGTACTTTTACAATAAACAAAAATGCAGACAGTGTTAATGTAAGATTGTAATTTTCGCGATATAAATGGAAAAGGAAATATTAATTTAATTATAAAATAACATAAATTAAATATATCATATTAATCATGAATTGTAATATTATTCCACATTTGGTATGCGGATCAATAATTGAGCGAACGCGATTCGTAATCTTTTTGTCGTGTGATCTACGACTAGTAGGTAGTAATAAATAGTAGTTCCGCCCAGAATCGTTTTTTTATTAACAATGATTAATTTTTGCTTACAGATATACATTCAATTATTTCTCTATGTTCGTTCTACCTTTCCAACTTCTCCCAACTTCATCTACAACAGTGGTTTACCCATCATGCGAACTGTGTTCGTCTATTTTTCTTATCAATCATTTTTATTAAATTAAATTGTTGTCAAAAAAAATAAAATAAAATCCCAAAAACGTTAATAATTTTCGAGAAAATAAGTGTCTTATTAAGGATTGAAAGGTATCGATCGTCTTTTAGTAATAAAATACAGTGTTTTCTTTTTCTGTATTTGGGTGTTTTATATAGAGACTCCGGAAATAGTGGCATAAGCCCTGTTTTATTTTCTTTATTCGGAAATTAGGTATCTAAGGCACAACTTAAATGGCTTTTTTCATCAACCCCCCCCTCACCAACTGAAATTTAATAATATATACGGATAGTATCCCGGCTGTTAACGTCATTAAATTATTTTATAAATCCATGTGACGTAATAAAACCGATTGTCAGAGAAATTACGCGCTGCTATCCGTAAATCGGTTACTTAAGTTAACATTTTATCCTCCGAATAATAATTGATATGCTTATTAAAACAAGGTTTCAATTCTGCTTTTAAAAAGAAAACTGAAATTTTAAAAAAATTCTTAAGGCCGAATTGATATTATAAATTAAATCAAACTATCTAATAGTTATATTTTAAGTGAAATTATAAAGTTTTCACTAAAAACAAAAAAAAGACAGAAAAAAATATATTTTTGCGTGTGGTTTCAATTCTATTTTTTTTTAAAAAAAACTGAAATTGAGGCCCTTGTTCTAATAAGCCTCTCAATTTTTTTACTGAATAAAGGTAAGTCTACACGCAGGGGAGGACTTACTTTTCCGGGTTAGTCGTTAATTATATTGACAAAAATCAGCCGATAAAAATACTGCTATTGTATAGTGTACATAAACATAAATATTTAAAGTTAAATAAAAATACAATATTGCTGTATTCTACAAGGTAACCAATCTATTGTAAGATAGTCATTATTTCAGAAAGTATTAAATTTTTTAGGAATTTGTTTTATAGAACGTTTAAGAAATAAGCAACTCTAAAATTTTGCATTTATGTTATGTTTGGGGTTACCCAAATGGCTTTACAGCCACTTCTTACTTTTGATTTTAAATGACAACTTATATTAAAAATTCCAAAAATAGACGGAGTATTAGTTAAAATAAATTTTAATGTTGAAATTTATGATTTCTGGCAACTCGATGAGGAGTCATTACATTTTTAAGTTTGGTTCGAGAAGTAGTGGAGCTCTGCTTGTGTGGCGGTACGGTGTATGGAATTTTAATAATGCACCATTACTCTCCCCCAATCCAAACTTAATAATGGAATAGTTCGTCAATGGATTAATGGTAATCAAAAATGTCAACCCTACATTTATTTTAACATTTATTTTAACTAATAATCAAAAGTAAGTAGTGGTTTTGTAGTGGTTTTACAACCAAAAATAAAGGTTCCAAAAAATAACATGAATGTAAAATTGTAGAGCTGCTTCTTTCTTAAATGTTCTATAAAACAAATTCTAAAAAAGACAGACATACTTCGCACGATTAAAAACTCTCAAAATTGAAATGTATAAATAGCTCAAAAATAACACTAATAATTTGATAATTTGTTCACGTCTAAAAAGTCCATCTTAAATTGTTTTTCCAAATTTCAGTTCTCTACCTATATTTTTAAATAAATTATAAAAAAAATCAAAATTGAAAATTTCCATTGCATTTTTATGTACATTTATCTATTTTTCTTGCGTTCTTTTTCTGGTTTTCCTTCATTACCTATTATGAAAACACTTCTTAAAATTAAAAAATGACACCCTTAAAGTACCACTTCACCTTTCAGAAAAGATACTACACTTGCAAATTGGAGCCAAATTACTGATAAAAAAGTTGTTCACAGTATAGAAAAAAAAAATAAATATCACTGTAAAACCATAAGCTTTTTTGCCTCCACTCAGAATCTAAAAACAAAATTGAGAATAATAAAAGCATTATTTTCGTAACCTGCTGATTAATACACTAAAAATATTGATGACAATATTCTTATCTATCGCGATTGAAAAATGTTAAATGTGGTTACCAATTAACAAATAAACTATAGTTATATGCCATAGGTATATAGACCTATGATAATTCGTTTTATCCATTAAATTTATTTCTTTATTTTGTCCTGATTTCTTCAACAATCAATCTTTTACATCAAAGTTTTTATCAAATAAGAATATTGTTATGTAATTTACGGACTGATCTAGTTCAGTTTACGTATAGGGGTATTGCCATGTTATAAAATAATAATTGTCTTGCGTAATTTTATTATATACATATAATAAGTAAACACGGTTAAGGATAGGGGGGGTTGTTACACCAACAACCCCCCTCTCTTGCTACGCCACTGAAATAAGTAACAAATTACTATAAGCATACCAAGCGGCGGCCTGGACCCGGACGACCTAAACATCTAACTGTAAGGCCGACTACTATATCCCTTCCACTACCACTCCTTTCACCTACCTTCTAAACCCGTTAAAATCGCTGTATTTTGACCTAAAACTTGTTTTCCTAGTGTACCTATATCAGGTACATTTTATTTTTCCCGTACGTTTCAGAAAATGATAATAATAATAACAATAACAGAAGTCCGTAATCCCGAATACGTATAATGATTTTATTACAAATATCATGTATTTATAAGTTGTTATTATCCTTATAAAATTATATTACTCATGTTATTTAAGCGAACTTAACTAAATTTATAAATTTTTTACTTGTAAGGTTAGGTAAGTGTACTTAGATTAAGCATACACATTTTTCTGAATTTCATTGGACCCACTGCCCATAAACAAATCAACAACAATAATAATAATAATAATAATAATATTACCAATTTCGAAATACAATTACGGGTCATGGGTGACGGGCTGCTTCCGTCGACTGTATCGGAAAATCGGGTAATGGTTGGCTGACCGGATTATAATTCCTGAATCTTCGAGCAGAAGGCAATAGTCAAGACGTACACGCGACGAACACGAGCAGCACACCTATGAACTGGAGACGGCTGACTAGTTCGCGGCCAAGTCGAAATCGCGGGTGCCGCTACGGACGCATGCGCGTGACGTCAAGCGTCATAGGCATGTAGATGATGCCCAAAGAAGGAGCACATAAATTACCCCGAAAATATTCTTTCACCGGCACCTCAGTTGTGTGTTTAACCCAACAAATCAATAATTTCGTTCTATATGCTAAAAATCACGTTATCATAAATAAGATAATTTACGGGTGCTAGAGCTCTACACGCAAGCCTATCTATTTGTAGGCTCAGCCTTACCTATCCAACGATTAGAAAAGCCCGGCCAAGCGTTAATTAATTTCAAATTTTCTTTTTTTTTCTTTTATTAACTTATTTTTAGAACTGATAGAAATAATCAAATTTTGAATTCTGAGTATAGAGAAAAATGTATTAGTTTTATAAAGATATTTTTATTTTTTTGTTTTTATGTACCAATGAAGATGTTGCTATCTATTCGCGTACGGAAATAATAATATATAAATCATAACACAAAATTACCTGTACTAAAGACTGACGTCGTTTTTACCGTGCTATCGTAAGCTATAAGTTCAATAATTACAAAAATACGTAGCGTACAGTCAGCGGTTACACAAAAACTGTTTATGTGTCGCAATCCCTTAGTAAAATCGCTATTTTTATAAACTGGATATCCACTTAGTGAAATTTGTCCAGATGGTGAATTTTGACGAAAATACATTATATGGATGTCCATCCATTTCATGAAATGGACAATACCTACACCTATTGTAAACTTAGTGTAATTAATATAAAACAAAATTTTTTAACAATAAATTATATAATAAATTACTATCCTTTTTTTGATTGTCTTAAACCATACTTTTAAATTATTTTTTTTATTTAATATTTAATTTGATTTAAACAATAATTAATTAACTATACCTATATATTTGTCTTACTTATTATTTATTTTTACATGACGATTAACATTGTCATGATCATCTGTAGGTCCCCTGTCAACTTTCGGTTCTCAGAATTCAACGCACTGATTAACTTCAAAATCGTCAGTTCTTTTTTTGTTTCCCTGTTAAAAATAAATTTAAAAAGCAAAAGTATATTATAACTGTATTTTATCATCTATCTTGATCATTTTCTATGCTTATATAATTTGACTTTCATGTCTACGTTCACGTTAAATTTGTATTTTTTTTTACTTAAATCGCATAATTGACAAATAATTTCATTATTTTCAGTTTTACAAATGCTGCAGGTAATTAAACGTTTTTCAATTTCTTTTACTTGAGATATACGTTTGAGGTCTTCTTTCGTTGTTAATTTTTTCAAAAGATCAGATGGCAAATTTGATGTACTTAGTCTATTTTGGGTCAATCCCAAATAAAGCTTTTTAAGGTATACGTCCAATTGTTCGATAAAATTAACTATTTTTTTGGAACTGAACAAAATTTAATCCAATGCTCCACTTTTTGGATTCATTATCATCCATCTATGATCGTGCATGAATGTGTTCTACATCCTGATTAAACCTTTCAATACTTCCTTAACTTTCAGGGTATCTAGGGCAACCATGCACGATAACACATTCTGGCCAAAGGTCTTTATGTTCATGGATTACAAGATTTCCAAATTCGTGGTCATTGTCACTCTGTAATATTTTTAGAGCTCCAAATGTCAACAATATAGACAGGTAACTCATTAGCGACTTCAATTGCTCTTTTGCTAATGGTCTAAGAATTACAAATTTTGTTGCGTAGTCTTGGTAATTTAGTATACATTTATATTTGCCATCTGTTACCGACCGAAAATCTACCATATAAATTTGTGCTCTTTAATTGAAATCATCAATTATGATTGGTTTTATTATAAGTTTTCTATTCATTGGTTTTTACAATTATACGTTTCACACACTGTTAAAAAAAATTAAATTGGTGGTTTCGGTACATAATAAGTATCATGTAACGCATTTCGTCATTTCACATTAGTTCCATGTTGTGTCCTAATATGAAATACTTTAATTTTATTAAATAGATCTTCGTAATATACCAAATATCTAAATCGAAACATTTTTTTTCAGAAAAATAATTCGTTAAAATATGTGCTGAAAAAAATATAGTTCTATTCAACACATTCGCGGCACAGACAAAAAAAATAATATACGTACAAATATTATATTAATTTACCTTATTTTTTCATCAGCTGCATTTTGTTTGTGTATTAAAAACTTTTCTTCTGCAATACTTAATACGTCATATGTAGATAATAGATAATATTGTCGTCGATGTTTTTTCCACTGTTAATATAAATAATAGTAAACAAGATGACAATGTTTATCACTTATCAAGTAGTTTTTATGGTTATTTAAATGTGTTAAAATTTATACTTGATTTAATTAAATTTAAGTTTAATTTTAAATTTTATCTATTTATGTCCAAAATTACTTGCGTTTTGATTATTGCCATTTCTATTTTAGAAATCATCTGTAATTGAGCACATTTAGTGAACGGTTTTTTTGTAGATTTAAATTTATAGTATTCATCCAACTTTTCATAAAATGCGTTCCTTTCTTCCATTTTTATTTAAAATTGAAAACTATAAGCACAATAGCACCTGCTTTACATGCATAACACACAAACACTCACTAAATTTTATTCGTTGAGCAACTTAGAAATTACATTAGGTATCCGTCGATCGTCATCCAATTAGGAAACATTCACTTGATATGTGATATGGAATTACCGAAATTAAAATTAATATCTCATAGTCTCATATGACTATTATTGCTTGTAACGTTATTATCTTTAATCTTTGTTAATATAGAAAAGTGTGGTTTATCTGAACGGGTATCAGATATAAAATAAAATGTATTTTTATATTTCTGTTCAAAAGAAAAGTATAGTAGTTTATAATATGATTTATTGTTGAATAAATGGTGTAGGTATTGTCCATTTCATGAAATATAATGTATCCATTTAATATGTGTCCATATAATGTATTTTCGTCAAAATTCACGATCTGAATGAATTTCACTATGTGGATATTCAGTTCATGAAATTAGCAATTTCACTATGTGGATGCGACATATATATTTTGTTTTTACTGTAGGTACGAAACAGAGTAGAATAAATAAAAGTATCCGGCATCCAGCTCGGGAAACGTAACAAATCACGGTGATTACCTTATCCTACTACAACAAAGTTGGTGAATAGAAATCGCCGAACATCCAAGTTGTCATCGATATCGACGATCGAGAAAAGGTAATTATTTGTTTTTCTTAAAAGCGTTTTCATCTATCAATACACTCGTATACACTACGCGTACTCTGTTACTGTTACAACAATGAATACTCTTTATGTGTACCACTTCTTAATATGTATATATCATAGATATACATACAGGATGTGAATCGAACACGAAACTGTGGTTACAAAATGATAGACGCATCATATTGCGATATTGCATAATACTCTTTTGAAAAAAAAGAAAATAGATACATGAACAATATAAAAACAAGGAAAATTTATAGTTTTTTAGATTATGAGTGAAGCAAAGAAAATGTATTGGCTTAAAGTGAATTTTTTTTATTTAATAAAAATGTTTACCAGAAACCTTGCTTGTATGTAAGTTTGGCACCTTTCCTGAAAGTAATATTTTTCTAGATGGTACTTTAAGAAGTTAATTTTTTAGTTTTCTATTCGATTTTCATAATATCTGGAAAAACCCAAAATAAAACGTAAGATAAACGGGAAAAAGTTTATTTTGTATGTACTCAGTGGAAAAAATTGTTAGATTAAACAGAAATTCAGGATATTTATTAAATTTGTACTTTTTGTGTTAAAAAAAAATGAAATAAAATTTAAGTAATGTTTTTTTTATAAAGGAATTTTAGTATTCGGTTATACATGATTTACAAGTTCGTAATAATTTTTTTTTTTTTTAATAGCTTTATTTGAAAAATTACGATCTATACAGAATGTACAATAAGTAATATTAATAATTTACAAACAGTTGACATTTATATAAACATGCAGAAGAAATCACATATTTGTGATACCTCGTAATATTTTTAAGTTATTAGTTCTTAAGTTTCCAAGTCTTGGCACCAGTTTTTTTTGATGCGTCTGTTAGGGTTTCCAGGAAGTGTTAGTGAAGCTAATTCGTTGATTAGTTTGTTTGAAATATCTAGTAGTTTGGCGTGGAAGCGTTTATAGAAGGTAGTAGCAGTTTCGTTGATGGAAGGTAATTTTTGATCGGAATTTAGGGTCTTGTTTGAGACAAACTATGGTGCACCTGTAGTTAACCGTAGACAAATGGTTTGGAGTGCTTGTATGATTCTTTTATTTGAGTTCTTTGCAGAGCTCCAGATTACTATACCATATGTCCAGATTGGTTGAAGAACAATTTTGTATAAAATGATTTTGATGGGTATGGTTAGGTTGGAACGAAGGAGTGGCTTTAACAGATAGAGTCTGAAGTTAAGTTTCTTACGCTTGTCTTTAAAATGAAGAGATCAGGTTTTTTCCCGGTGTTTCCCATTAATTATGAAATCACTTAGAAAAATCAAATAATGACCTCCTTAACGTACTTCTCCATTCAGATTTCCTCTCTGATATGTACGCTCAATACCATTTCTGATAAAAAATATTGTCCAGATGCTACTATTGATAAGTCATTTTTGATTTTCTAAGTGGTTTTCATAATATCTAGGGAAAGCCAAGAATAAAAAGGTAAGAAAACGGGAAATTTACGGAAATAATTGTTTTTTTTTTTTTTTATAAAGAAAAATCAATATTAAATTTTGGCGAAAATCGTTTGAGTAAAAAATAATGTTAAACGAATCTATATTTTTAATTTGTTTTTTTTTTTTGTTTTTTTTTTGAACCCATTTATATTGTCAATGGTGCAGTCAGAATTGAGTGGACTGACTAAATTTTGAAATTATAGCTTTTTGAAATTCTGATATGCGGATATTATATGTTATGTAAAATAACACTATAATGTTTCTCCTTAAAGGACATTTGTCGTGATCTTATATATACTTATTATCATCCTAGGGGTCCTGAGTTCAAACCCAAGCTTCGAACAAATTGTTTATATTTTCTTTTCCCTTTTATCAAAACAAGGAAAAACCAAATGCATTTTGGGTGTTTGCTATCGCTCAGACTATTTTAATCGCAAAATACACCTAGGTTTGTGCAAACAAAATCAAATAATGACCTCCTTAACGTACTTCTCCAGTCAGATTTCCTCTCAGAAAATGTTGTACACTTGGATACAATCAATTTTAAATTTCTGGTAGAAAAGTTGTTTACAGTCTACAGATAAAACAAAAAAACCCATAGTAAAACAAATAAATTTCTTGCTCCGTTGTGAACCCAAAAAATAATACATAGTTTTGTATAGCTCTAGAAAAGTCCGTCAAACACGGCGGGACCTCCTATATTACTACCCCAACGCTGACCACCGTAATGCTACTATAGTGTAGAGATTTATTATTTTTTCTATTGATATTTTTAATATAAAATCGTGTTTTTTCCAGGTGAAAAAATTCATTGCTACAAATCCTGTCATCAACTATCATTGTGACCTCAGTATAGACGGAAAAATGAATTTTAACGAAGAATTGATTTCGAATGATCTGTTTTTAACGCCGGACGGCATTCCGTTCGTGATGTATGACAGTCTCTACGACGAAAATCACCGGGATCACGACAGTCGGATAATACTGCTCACGACGAACTATAATTTTGAATTACTGCGTAAATGTAACTATTGGCTCGGTTTCGGATATCAGTTCAATTTCGGATACTTGTTCACCATCAATGTCGTGTTGGATCTAGATACGGTCTCGGTGGTGTACGTGATTATACCAAACTCATCGCTGGATTCCTTCAAACTCTTGTTCAAGACGCTCAAACGGTACCTCCCGCCATCGAGCTATCCCGTTTCGTTCATATTCGCCGCGGATGAACTTGCCGGTTTATCAGCCCTTAAACTCGCGTTTCCCAATGTCTCGATAAGACCCAGCATGGTACATTTTTCAAACGTGATTTGGGACAGGCTTTATAATGAGACGAATCTTCCCGATATGTTGGGTTCTAATCTAAAAATAAAATTAGATCAGCTGATGACACTGACATACTCACCGGTCGATGATATTGTAAAAAATTACGAACGCCTGCTGGCCTCCGAATACTTCACGACACATGCCGAATTACTTGAAGTTGTGATACATTTTTTCGAAGAGAGGTATATTGGTAGGCGTACCAGACCAGGCTACAATATGAGGGCTGAACCAAAATACCCATTGGAGGTTTGGCATTGCGGTCCAGCTAACAGACTGAGAAACGAAGAATTTGATAACAGGATAAATCAGTGGTATAAAATGTATACCGATTTCCTAAACGGGAACCTACCTAATAGCCTAAGTGAACTGGTGCGTTTACTAAAATCCGATAACCATCTTAACAAAGAGCAAGTGGAGAGTATGTTATTCGAAATCAACAGATTCCATGAAGAGATCGCCATATCAATAAACGGTCGTGGTACATAGGAGGAATAATAAAATACTACGACATTTTTCCTACATTAACGGTTGTACTACATTTGCTTGTACATTTCCTTTTCATTTTCTTAACATTTTCTTGTTCCTCGGTTTCCTATTTTGCGGGATCAAAATACATTTAACGAATGTAATTTTTTATTTCTTTTAGATTTTCACCATTACCATTTAGAAAATTATTAATTGTTAGATATATTTAATTGTTATAGTAATATTATACATTAAGTTACTTATTATTAAATACAAAAAAAAAAAAATTCTTTCCGCATTTGTATATTTAGTTTCCCCCCTCCAAAAAAAAAAATGTATTTACAATCTGTATAATACAATAAGTCTGATGACTAATTTTACAAAATGATAAGAATAGGAAGGCCTCCAGGAAGGCTACCTAACAGTAAATATTCCATTTTAGTGTTATTCATTTATTTTCTTAAGGGTTACCGTAATATATTGTGAAATACGACATTTTTTGAGACATATTTGTTCGTATTTTAAAGTTTTAACTTTTTTAGACATTAGTTTTTTTTGTTTTTTTTTTTAATTATTGTTTTCGCAATAATCAATGTTGCGGTTAGCGCAAGTAGGCATTAGTTACTAGGCAGCGTTAGCTAGGCAGTATTCTTACGATTGACTGAACTGGTCACATTCGTCACAATTGAATATCAATTTATTTTAGGAAAAATAAATAATTATAGCAATGCTACAATTATGCATTAAAAACATAGCCATCAATGTTTAATACTATAAAATTTTTTATTAAACCCAAAAAATTATGTAAATAGGTTTACAAAATAATATAATTTTGCACTGACGGTTAGACGGTGCACTCTTAAAATTGTATAACAATAAAATACAAATAAATAAATAAACAAAACCAAATATATATATTTATATATATCTAGAGTGTTGGGCGTAATCGATTAATTTATTAAATTACATTAGTTATTAATCATTTAATCATTTTACAAAGTAATTAATAATCATGATTAAATATTTGTAATCGTTAATTATTATTGCCAAATTAATCGCATAACTACAACTGTACAATTGTACAATGTATATTACATATGTACGTATTGTATTGTGTTAACTATCATTTGCGTTTTAAGGTAGTCATCATATTATTTTTAGTGTCTAAACTTGATATCCATCTAAAATTTGATGCCCCATACATATATGGCACCTCTCAATGCCTTAGAACAGTTTCTCTTTTGGTGCTAAGAGGGAGATATCTCGGAACAGTCCTGTATACATACACATTAATATTTTGTACATATAAACAAATGTAGTAAGAAGTTTTCCCGTTTTTCTCAAGTTTATTCCCAGTTTTTCACATTTGTTAAGGAAACTCCAAAGAAAATCGATAAACGAACTCTCTAAAATACCTCCCTAGTGAATTATACCATTAGAAACATTTCTATCAGTATAAGTTAGAACGTAATTGTTGGTAGAAAAGTTGTGTACAGAAAAAAAAGGCCGTAATATATTTTAACTTATACCTACATTTTTTAAATTTTTCGGTTTTTCATATTTGATGAGAAAACCCTTCTTCGATGAATATATGAAATTAAATGCAATATACTTATTATAATGATTGATAGAAAAAAAAATCACTTCTACATACAGGAATTTCATTTATTTTAAAAAAATAATTTAAATTGTGTATTCTTTTTTCTATAATTGATCCTATACATAAAACAAAAAAATTTTTATTTAAAAATTAATATAATATCTTAGTCAAGGACGAAAGTCCAAACATACCACATTATTGTGGAATCGGATATACATCAAACACATTCATAGTTACACCAATTAAAAAGTATCAAAATTAAACAACAAATAATTGATATTCTAACGAAATATCTGAGAAGAAGACAGAAAATAATATTTTACCTCGGGCATTTTTTCTACGGTCATTATTTAAAAAGAGAGTTGATAATGAGGACGAGTGCAGCCACTGTTGTCAGTTGGAAGTTGGGAAGGTAGAATACATACATTTATTTTATTTATATCTGTAAACAACAATAAACTATTGCTGATGAAAGACGATTCATAGCACAGTTCGATAATACATAGAAGTGCCGTATTTTTTTTTTTTTTTGCGATTTTCGTATAAATTTGATGTCAAAATGTTTATTAAAAAAAAAGTTAAACAAAAATATGCTCTCTTGACTTTTTTCAATTGGAGCCATATTTGTGCTAAAAAATGTGGTAGATACTTATTTAAAATAACAAAATCGTGAAATATCGTATTTTTTGTCCCAGTTAATCGTTTTTATTTTAAAAACCGTTTTGAAAATTAAAAAATGACCTATAATTTACCAAGTAAATAAAATTAACTTTCAGAAAAGGAGCTACACTTATACATCGGAACAAGTTTTCTAGAATAAAAGTGGTCTATAGTATAAAAAAAAAAAACAAAGTACCATTGTAAAAAAAAATTAAAAAAATGAAAAATAGTCATCCGATGATTTTGGAAATTTTAACACGTCTAGGTAAGTTAAAAAAAGTATTGTTCCAAGTTTCAAGTTACTACGTGTATTTATAATTAAATTACAGTAAAAAAACTGCCAAAAATTAAAATTCCTTAAAAGCTCAATTGTTTTGGCGATAATTCCGTAAGAAGGTAAATGAAAACGGCAACAAAAAAGGCGTCTTAATGTTTCGATGAAATCATTTTTCCTGGTAGAAACCATCGTCCGTGTTTTCATAAAATTATCCAATCGTGAAATTGTACGTTTTCCTAAATTTTTCCCAATTAAGTGCTTTTATTTAAAATATTGTTTGAAAATCAAAACATGACCTATCTAAAATTCAATATAGGCAACTTCCAAAAAAGTTGCTGCACATACAAATCGGAGCAAGTTAACTTGGAAAAAACGTGTCCACAGGTTAGAATTAGGAAAAAGAAATAAACAGCATTGTAAAACCAATAGCTCCCTCACTACGCTCGGAATCTAAAACCGAATTTCACTATTTTTTTAATTTCCTTAATCAGAAAGTTATCAACAAAAATTGTTTACATTTCATGAATGCAATTGTAATTATTTCTGGGTTATATACTTTTAGATCAGACTCTGTAGCAAATTAAAATAAAATATGAAAGAAACGAATAATTTTGGAATGAACAAAAACTGTATAAGAATTAATAATGTTTTTTACTATAGAGAAATATAGAGAGGCCGTTCCCTATATTGTTTTGAATAACGAGTTGAAGCGAAAGTAGAGTCTATTTACAGTGTCATCGTTTACAAGGAAAAAAATATTGTTAAGTATTTATTACGTTTTGTTTTATGTTATTTAAAATAAAATATTTAATGAATTATAAAATCATTAATCGAGAAAACAATAATATAAAATGTAGATAACATATATCAAAAATATGTATATTACATTGAAGAATTTATTTTATTACTGACTCCACATGTAATTATCGAACTGTATATTTTAATTTAGCCAGTATGCGATACATCTAATGATGCAATAGAACATAATATAATCATCAAATGCACCAAATACACCAAAGCCCACCAGAAACTCTCAATCTTCATTAAGTACTCAATGAAAAGAACACAATCGCAATCAGTATGTTTTTCCACAATATATACCTAAGTCATAAATTTTACATTTTCCAAAACATGCCCATGTATATAGTTTGTTGTAATATAATTGTTGTAAAATATAATGTATATAATAAATATATTTAAATTTTTAATAATAAGTTAATTTAGACTTATGACCTTTGTTTTTTTTATTTATTACAACTTTTCTTAAATTGATAAACATGACCTACTTAATTTAAAACATAGGTAATATCAATTAATATTCAGTCAACTTGACTACTTAGTTATATAATAATAAATAAATATAAACAATAATAATATTTTATAACAAGTTTTATATTATTGGCCTTTAAAAATAGTAAGCTTAATGTACCACATTCTCATTGAAGGGATTACGGGATTTTAAATTATAGTTGATTTTTAACTTAATATAAATTGTTGCTATAGATTTAGTTAATAGATTAATATGAGTTAATTTTAATCTGGTTTGGCTAATATGAGATTCTAATGATTTGAATATATTTAAATTATCCAAATAATGAATAAGAACTTCAGATTGTATTTTTAATTTGTTCATAGTATTATTTGTGTAATCAAAATTTTGCGAGTCAAGAGTGATTCGGGATTGTTAATTTTAGAGGAAAGTAATTTACTTATCGTTTTTAAAAATACACATTTGTGCAATAGGTGTAATTTATTTTATGAAATAAGTATTAAATGTAAATATATTCTTAAAAATTTAACATTGTACAACATACAAATATCTAATTATTTCAAATTAGGATAAAAAAATAAATATTGAACAATAAAAACACCGGTTCTATACAGGTACTATTTATTTTAGAGTATCCTCAATTTAGGTAGTGGTTTTATAATGTTCGATGATGCAGATTGATTATTTTCTTCCATACAATCATGATATATTTTTGTTGTATAAAAAATATTAAAAATACACATACAATGTTCATTGCAATCATTGTTATTGAAATTTGGATATTTTTGATTGATGTGCCTTTTTTTCTTATAACAACCATAATATTCACGTTTATTTCCCGAAATAATTTTACCATACTGGAATACACGGGAATAATATAATAAAATTCATCAATTAATTTCATCCTACTAGACAACCGTGGCAAATATGACACGACTATGATGTAAACAAAACACGACTGTGTAGATGTTTATCTATCTAAAATGTACAGATAATTAGCGGTATAGAATAAAATTTAAATGTGTGTGAATACTGATTAAATACCACAATCTCACTTACTTGTTAAATAAAAAAACTTCTAAACACTATAAACTAAACATTGAAATATCATTATCAGCCATATATCTATTTATAATTTGTAACAAATAACAATAATTATAAAATTGGTTGATCAATTTATTCACTTAGTTATTATCTTATCGCCATCTATGATAAATATTTTCAACTAAAATCTGGAGTTTCACATTTTTCTATTACGTGACGTATCTATACTATGTATGATAAATGATAATATGTATACTTATTGTGCTTATATAATCCTGTCTCGATCAATTAAATTTTTTATTAAGGTTGGTTTTGAAAATTGACGTGTTAAGCTCCAAATAAATTCATTTTTCTATATCTGAAAATATTAATGTTTATAGAATATTTAAAATTTAAAATTTTAAGAATGGTGGATTCAGAATGTTATCAATATATTAAAACAACGACAAACAATGACGACAGAACATTTAAAAAAAATTTGCACAACATTTTAAAACTCAGACTAAAATGTTGTAAGAACTTTAATATTTAAAAAAAATTTTTATTAACATGTTTTGGAAATGAAAATTTGTTGTTTGGGGTATATTGTAACAATAATAATACATTATGTAAACCATTGTATTTGAAAAGTTTGAAATATTCCAATTTGTTTTACGATATAATCGTATACGGCAGCACGATCTAGAAGGAAAAGTCGTCGAAAAGTCGTTTGTTTGGTTCGCGGTTGAGACAGAGCGTCCCAACGACGCGACAATCGAGTACGCGGGCGCGAAAATGTTTGTAGTGTCATCGCCGCCCACTGTGCGTATCCCGGTTTCTGGATACGATCAATACTCGCCGCTATGCGGCCGCTCGCTCCCGTTCAGCTCAGTACACTGGCACACATTAATGAAATTAGGTCAGTGAAATTAGTGAATGGATATTAAGCATTAATTTTCTCTTAACACCAATATTTATTGCTGAATTAGTACTGGCGAACGGTACTATATGCAAAATTAGTGCTAAATATTCTAACGAGCTATTGGACTTTCTGAAATTTTCCACAGTGGACGCAGTACTTTTTTTTTAAATTTTGATTTTTAAATAAACTGTCTGTAAAAATACATCGTAAGAATATTTTATTAAATGACATACATAGGCGTGAGAAAGAAGTTGATGGAAGAAACAATCCACTTGTGACACTGCAAATTGACTATTTACGTATAGTAGTTATATGGGAATCCACTTCAAAATGTTGCGGTAATAAACCAATAATATAGTGATTAAAAATGTTACCGTTCAAAAAGTCGCTGTATAGAAATTATCTAAAAATACAACAGTCAACTTTTTTATTTTTATTCTATTTAGTAATCTAATTTAGGTAATCTATTGAGTGTGATTTACAGTGTATATATAATAGTGTATATTTACAGTGAAATTAGATTAAAAATAATTATTTTTTTTTTTCATTTCGTGCATTTATAGTTGCCATTTATACAGTTTATATACCTAGTCAAATCATATAAGTTATTAAAAAAGAATTTTAAGTAATACATTATTTATATTTATAATCGGTGATAAAAATTGTGGAATATTCCATGTAAGTAGTCATCAATCGATCTTTTCTCGCAGTCATTAACAACGTTTGTTAGTCTTATAGCAGAATCTTTGTATTTTTTTTTTTTTTTTGCTGGGAGTTGCATAAAGTTTAACCACCGATCATTTTAAAATCTGATAACTTGACAAAAAACAATTTTAAAATTTTATAGTAGATATTAGATAGTAAGCCTTCAAAACCTTGGCTAAATTTTCTTCTTTAACATTCTGTTTCGGTATAGTTTATTGATTGTTCCTCGTTGCTAGAGTCAAAGATTGTATTGTCTTGAAATCCCCATTTATGTAGAAGAGCATCGCACCTACTATGACCTATGCGTAGTCTGTTTAGTGTAGACCAGATGCGACGTGGAAGATTAATCCCTTATAACTCCAATGTTAGTAATATGAATTTGTATGTTCTATGCCGCAGCAAAACGCTCCATGGAATTGATAAATTCGGCCTCTCTTTTCAATTAGCAAAAGGCTGAATAAAACCGAAAGATTTGGTCCCTCTGATTTGACGAAAAGTTGAGACACTTATATACAGTGTCATGACACTGTATATAGGTCTGTATACTATATACAGTGTCACAGATACTTATATACTAGGGTTACTAATAGCATAATACGCTAACTATAGTAAGATAAATAGACAGCGCTAATATATTTATTTATTTGATAATGGTGATAATGATTGTACAGTATATTAATTTATATACTAATTATTTATTGTAGGTAATTAAATTTAAAATTATTTTAAACAATATATGTATTTTGCCATGGAACAGATCTTGCTTCTGAATTAAAATATATCATGAATTTGTCACAAATCTCGATAGCTTCTCGTGTTGGTCTACGATTTGTAGGTCGGTCGATATCTTCTTGATATGCTTGCAAAGTAGTTTTTTCTATTTCATTATGAATAAAGTAATTTCTTTATCCATAATTATATTATGAAGAACACATACAGCCTGCGTTATAATAGTAACTTTATCTGGATGAACCAACATTTTGTTTTCAAATACATTGAATCTTTTTGTAAGTATACCGAAAGCACATTCTACGATTCTCCTTGCGCGAGATTGGCGATAGTTATAAATTCTTTTTCTGTTCGTTAATTGTCTTCATGCAAATGGTTTCATTAAATTTATTTTTAAAGAATATGCCTCATTTGCAACAAATACAAACGGAAATTTTTCTTCTAAATCTTCGTGAATATTTCTTGAATGAGTGGGCAAATTTAATTTTTTTTTATCAAGTTATTTTCCAAAATTAGATTCCTTCAAAATACCTCCATCACTATTTCGACCATAATCGCCGACATCAATAATTATAAATTTGGCGTTAGCATCAACTACTGCCTGTAGAACAATGGAGTGTGTCCTTTAAAATTATAGTATGAAGATCCTGAATTTAGCGGACATTGAATTGCTATATGTTTACCGTCTATTGCTCCAAATCAGTTTGGAAAATTCCAAGATTTTTCAAATTCGCTTGCAATTTTTAACCAACCTTTGGTAGATGGTAAAGGCATATATTGTGGTGCTAGAATTTTCCATATGGCTAAACATGTATCTTTCACAATATTATCGGCAGTGGTAGCTCCTATTTGAAGGCTATAATATAGGCGTTGGAAACGTTCCCCATAAGCCAAAAAACTAAAAAAATTAAACTTATTTACTTACATGTTTATTATATTAAAAAAATATGCCTAAGGTTATAATAGTTTTTTTTTTAGTGTCGCTGTGTAAAAAAAAATGGACTTCTCTTAGAAATGCATATGCAAGAGAGCTGCATGAAATAAAAAATAAAAAATCCGGATCAGCTGGATCAAAAAAAAAGGAAATTGTATCTCTTCGAAAGTATGAGTTTTTTGTTAAATTTCATGTTAAAACATAAACAAATGACTAGTAACGTAAAAGATAATTGTAACGAACATGATGAACGCTGTGAATCTGAACAATACTTGTACGATGCAGCAATAGTAGACGACAATACATCACAAGAAGATGATAAGGTCTCTACAGAGTGTGAAGAACCACTAAATGAAGCAGTTTTCAAAATGCTGAAAATACTTAAAACTCAGTTCAGAACAGCAACCGAAAAAGTAGCTGAACCAATGATCGAGTTTTTAAAATCGAGGACTACTAAGCCAGCTAGCATTAAAGATTCATTAGAAATATTATTTTTCAAAAGCTTAATCCTTAATTACAAAAACTCAATGAAAAAAATCAACGTCGCTTCAAACGAGATGTATTATCAATTTTAAACAAGTATATTGATGATCAAGAACAAATTACTTCATTTCAAAATGGACAACATTTATATTCTTCAGAAGTAGGACAAAATAGAAGGAAAAACATGAATAACTATTACAATGCTTTTGCATCTAGTTTTGCATCACCTATGACAGACAGTGGCAGTTCATATGATTAAGTTTACGAGTACATCATTTTTCTATACAAATTACAATATAAAGAAAAAAGAACTATCAATTATTATTAATTTAAATTTAATATGTATTTATGCATAAACAATAAGTATTTAAATATAATATGTAAACAATACGAGTATAATAAAGATATAAGTACAGTTAAATATAAAAATGAAATATTATCCTTATAAAACACACCTATTTATTATCTTACCTTAGTGTAATTAAAAGCCTTTCTTCAGGAGAAATACTTCTTCTGAAATGAGTATCTTCTTTTTGAATTTCGTCTCATATTTGATAAAATCAAAAGTTGTAATACTAACACGTGTATAGATTTAAATTTTTTTTCATCTAGTCGTAATTCACATATAAATGATACAATTACGTTGTAAGTGATACGTCTTTTGTTCAATGGATGTACCCATAACGTTTTTCTCCGTTCTCTAAATTGAGTAGAGTGTACCACATAATATATAAATCATAACTTCTTCGTCTTCTTCAGATGACATTTTGGTAACTTATTGATAAAAAAACGAATTAAACGCGCACGCACAGAAAAGAATAGTGGAACTTGAACTCAAACCACGAGTAATTGCGATTTGTTTTGCCTTAACTTGACTAACTGGTGTGCGCACCTATAAAACAAATTGTTTTTAGTTGACTAAAAACAAAAATGACTATCGATGACTAACACAGTTTTGCTCTTTTGGTGTGCGTTGGGCCTTAAACATCTAAACATATTTTCAATGTGCGAAGCCGGTTTCAAATTCCTAGGTACTGGAGACTGTGTTAAATGTTTTAATTGCAGACTAATTCTTCATGAGTGGGCAATTACAGACGATCCTTGGAAAGAAAATTAATTTCATTTACCAACATGCTCGTTTGTACAACTTAAAAAAGGCAACCAATTCGTAGAATCTGCTATCCGTGAAAAGCAACAAGTTGTATGTGACTGCGGTTTTAACCATAAAGGTTATGATACAGTTGATTAATTTATAACTATATAGTTGTTATATGTTTAATAAATTGTATTATTTAAATAAATATTCATACTGTTTTTATTTCATGTGGAATGATGGCTTTGTGGTTTAATGAGGCTGATTTATAAAATTCAGTATAATAAGTTTCATTTATAGTTTGAATGGGAAAGGTTAATCTATATGTATTTATAAAAATAAAAATAACCATATAGAAGATTTAATTTGTAGCTGTACGGTAAATGTGTTATCATCCACAGTTATTTTTTTAAATATACATTATAAACAGGTTTGTATACTAGCTTAGGTCACAAAATGATTACATTTTAAGGCTATGCTAGTACAGGTTATATAATGTTTAATTTTTAAGACTTTATAAACCAATAAAATTTCGGTAAATAGTACAGTTGACGTTAGTACTATAGCAGTACATTATCAAATTATGGCAGCTGAAATAGTGAACAAGTCGGTTTTCAGTATTCATCCTTCTAATTAAAAAAATGTAACCGTCGGTTTTTCAATTGATAAACAAATCACAATTTTTATTTTACTTGATTGTATTTCAAATAAACGAACATTTTATTTAAATATAATTAAATGGCAAAATTTTCTCGACGAAGATCAATTTTATATGATGCTAAGCAAAATGTATACAAACGCAAAACGGATTATTATATGCAAAAACTTTTATTATTTAATTAACTCAAAAAACGAAACAATAACCTTACAAGCTGACGAGGATTGTATTACATTAACTCGTTACAATTTATCGCGGTTAAAAGAATTAAACCTTTCATTGATTGATATATTTTTTAAAAAATAGAATAAATTAAATTTATATCATACATTTTTTGATCTTATTTATTTTTTATTAAAACGAGATATTCAAGATTTCCCGGAAACTTGTCAATGCAGCACATTTGTAAAAACTTATATTCATAATTATAATTTTAATTTTACTGATTTATGCTGAGAACAGAAATGTTTTATACACGAAGTCCAATAATTTTATCATGAATTATTGAGTAATACGAAACTTCAAGATTTAGCATCTTTAGCATTATCTACATTTTCCTTCCCATTTTTAGAATCTTAGGACTCTCAGATATCAACTGGTATGGTTAAAAATTTAATACTAAAATGTATTATTATAATTTAAAACTATTATAAGCTAATGTAATTATTAGTATAGTATGTTCTCAATTGTTTAAAATATTATTTATATTATATAAATATATTTCCAAGATTTATCATAAAATGTATTAAATTATTTGTCGTCGTGTTATTCTTCGCATTACAGTCACTGTATAAACGAATTTAGAATATGTTTTTGATGTTGTACAGATATTATAGTGAAGCATACCCCTATCTCTCAATAAGTTTGAAGGAGGTAAGGATCATAAAAGACACTGGAACTATGCCATCCGTACGCTAACCCATTCGTATTGCAAACATTCATTCACTGTAGACGACCTTCTTTCGAAATATTACAAATATGAGACAAATTTTATACTTCACACATTTTCATTTAATCAAAACTTTAATGAATATTAGTTATATTTTTATTTTTTAAAATAATAATAACATAAATTCAAAGTATAATATAAACTTATAATTCTGTATTTATTTTTTGTTTTTTTTTTTATATTCAATAATTTAAAATATTGTTTCTTCAAAAATTATATTTAGGTAGGTATAATATTCAAATATTATAATAAATAATAATAATAGAACAGTTCAGATCAAATAATGTTTTAGAAATACTGATATTATATCCGCAAATTAAGTATATATTTCCGAATCATCGATAAATCTTTCTTGTTCCACCTGTATCGTTTCATTTATTTTTGAAATAAATTGCTGATCTTTAGCTCCATTTTCATTATTTATCAATCGTAAAGTAAATTTTGCTACTTTCAATCTAAAAATGTATAAAAACTATATTTTATTATAGTTAAATTTAAAATTACTGCTCACTAGACACGAAAATAATAAACTTTCATCGCTGGAGCTGCTTTCAAAATCGGTCTGCTCGTTAAACTGATTCATATTATTTAATAAAAAAAAAATCATATTTTTTCGCTAATTAAAATGAATTTAAAGTTTACAACGAGATACTTTATCTTGAAGGTGGAACTTGAATGATTTTCGTATCGATACGAATGGGCGTTATATACTAATAGATCCCCCTTCACTATTGTTAGTGAAACCTGTGTAATACGTTTACTAGCTAATGAAACAACTCTGCATAATATATTTGATCAGGAAGTTATTAACCCCAATAAATGCGAAAGTATAGTAGTATTATTTAAAAATAGCAATTAATAATCAATTCGCATAGTATATAATGTGGATATATTTTCGGGGCGAAAAGACGTGTTCATATTAATAACCTCTTTTATTATATTGAAACTTATCTAATTTATTAACCTCCGAACGATTACGGATATACTTATATAATATTTTTACTTATATTTACGGTAGGATATACCTGCACATTTCGATGTATATATATCAGAGGAGACTCTCGAAAAGATTTCTAGTCTACATCTAGTAGCAGTTGTATACTCAGACTCAAGACATTGAAATTACTGGTTAACCGATACGTATCGAGCGTATCGCTGATCACCGCAAAACCATGTAAGTTTTTAAAGTATTTTATTATTTGCTGATAGCTGCTTTGCGTTCACAGTATTATTTAACACAGAGCTATTTGGAGGCATGTATAGGTCTAAATTCAGTCGTTCTTACATGGAACGGGACCACAGATGCTCGAATTTTGCTAAAACTTGGATTTAACCCTACAATGCATGATGTTGCTTCTCGACAACAAGCGATAAAAAAGGTTATAATCTAATATTTATCTATGTTAGTCAATGTATATTAGCTTTTATCATAAACAAGTATGATAATACATTACGTAATTTACTTTCAAACCGTTAGATAGCAGTATGTGATTAAACTATCAAACTATTTATCGATGGACCGGTACATATGAATGTGACAATATTCTGGGTTTTTTTTCAATAATTTTAAATCATAAAATATGTCTATGGATAACAATAAAAATATACCCGTGTTCATATATATCTAAACTTTAGATAATTTCTAAGGCTGTACAGATAAGTCAAATATTTTATTTGTAAATCATTAAAGCCAAATACTTGGCTACTTTTTCCAAGACGATTTAATTGAACATATTGTGTATGAAACATTGATATATAGCATACAAATAAATGCAAATAAAACTTTTAAAATAATTTCAAATGACGTATAAAATATTTAAGAGTCTGTCTATTAATGGGCTTAATAAATATTTCTAATATTCGAAAATACTGGTCTCCAAACTTAGGAAATCAAATTATTCAAGAAACACTGAGCGTCAACCAATTTTAACAAATTCGATAGTTCATACACTTCAATAATAATAATAATATGTTAGCTAAAGGCCACGTGGGCCATGAAAGATTACAGAAAATTAGGCCAGTTATGGAGACTTTAAAAAAACGATTTGCTTCTATACCTTTAGAAGAAGCTTTATCTATAGATGAGTAATTATGCTCAACTAAAGCTCGTAATTTTCTCAAGCAATATCTACTAATGAAACCCAATAAGTGGGGATACAAATTTTTTGTATTATGGGGTGTATCTGATTTTTCCTGCAATTTGGAAATGTATAATGACCAGGAAAACAACGACGTTAATAGGTATTAATGGTAACCAGATATCGGCGCTTCGGGAAATGTAGCCGTTCGACTATGTAAAATAATTCAGTTATAGATTATACAGATACAGATATAGACAATTTGAAGACGTTGATACGGCGGTATTCAAATGGTTTTAAGATGTTCATTCTAGAAACGTTCCTCTGACCGGTCCTTTAATTCGAGAAAAAGCCTTAGAATTTTCTAAAATGCTCGAAGTTGAGAATTTCCAAGCAACTGTCGGATGGTTAAATCGTTTCCGTGAGCGGTATAGTGTGATGACCAAATGCATTTCTGGAGAGGCGAGTGATGTGCAAATTTGAATCACCGAGGAAAAGAAAACGTCACTTCCTAAAGATGTAAATTTAGAAGGTCATCTCAGTACAGATGACAACGTTTTAACATGTTATGAACTAAATATCATGCAATCCATTAAAGACAGTAAAGATGAGGCCACCGATGAAAGTAGTGAAGATGAAGAAGCTGTGATGGGAGATGATGTGCGCAATGTCACTTCATCAGAAGCCTTATTAAGTTTGGAAGTTATGCGAATATTCATTTCATCACGAAGTGATAAACCAGACTTCATATCTACAAACATTCACCAACTACAAAATTATTTAAAATTATTTTTCTATTAAAACAGCAACCTTGTTCCAAAAAAAATTGTTGATTATCTGTAATAAAGTTATTTTCGCAAATTATTTAAATTTGAATTATTTATTTGTATTTGAATTACATAATGTTTTTAAATTTTTTTTATTCGAATTTTCGAAATTTTGTTACAACGGAAAAAAAATCGGTCCCTTGGAGTTCGTTGTAACGGGAACTTACCGTACTCATAATTTTACTTTATATTTATCTAAACATAACCTCATTGTAATAGGACTAATTATCCGTTTAGTTGAAAAATAAATAAATAACTAAATAAATGAATTTATTTAGTTATTTAGGCACGATTTTTTTTTAAATTGGTGCCCCAAGTATATCTAGTCTATTATTATAACTAGAGAGCTTTTAACCAGATGTGTTTATATATTTTTACAAGCATTATATTTTAGGTTTTGATGAACATAAAAATCCCCTCTCTATTTAATGTTCGTAACAACCGTTCGAAGATATTGACGCTGTTTCAGTATTTTATCGCTGGTAATTCTGATTTCACTAAAATCTTGGGTAGTTCTAATCCAGCGTAATGCCCCCAGCATTTTAAAAACATAATAAGTAGTGCTAAACATGACTTTCATATTTAAATGCGTAATGGAACAGGTTTGACGTCAAATCCAAGTTTTTCGAAAATAACGTTTACAGTCATAATATGAGAGCTATTAACATTATAAACTGGTTCCCAGGCATTGAAAATTATTATAGTTTTAGATTTAGCTTGTTGGTCCACGAAATCTGAGAACGCATCAATATTAGATATATTAGATATGAGATTCTGAGAATTATTTGCTGCCGGAGATTGAACGCGTTTGGTTAAATTTAGGAGATCATTACGAAGAGTACAATTTTCGTTTTTGATTAGAGAAAGTTCTGAAAAGATTTCGGTGATTCTTAGTTCAAACGAATATAACTTATCTCCCTGTTTGATAATTATATCGAAAAATTTGGATTGCTCGGTACATAGATAATCTAATTGTTTAATAATTAATTTAAGATCATGTAAAGACCCAAAAAGGGGGGGGGGGTTCATTAGGTAGGTGCCTATTCGGATGTGAATGGCGAATTTCCCCTTTTTATGGCAATACCTTTTTCTTATTAGAGGAAGTACAACCGGGGTCATGAATGTAAATTATATCTAGCTATTATATATGTATCTATATGTCTAACGAGGTATGCAGATATTCGTCTAAAAATGAATCTGACCAAATATAAGTAGTCGGTTTAGCGTATGGTATAATTGCTTACCTGACGCGAACGGGAATACGTCTTTGAGTAGCAAAGTTCTGAGTGTGAAGAAATATACGCAACGTGTATTTTTATCCACGTATACAGTTTACAATAATTTAAAGTAAGGAAAACTATAAGGTAAAATAACAAAACAAAACTGAATAAAATAAAACACGGCAATCACATTACATAAGTTTAACAGTTGGACATGGTTAGTCGGACCCTAAGTCTATGTTAAGACTGGAAGATTATTAGATTGTAAGCGTGGGGTTTTATAGTATTTTGAAGTGAGATTGTCGTTATTGTTTATTAATTTAAATGATACATAATATGGTACATAGTTATGCAGTATAGTTATTTTATTTTTTACAGATATATGAAATAGTAATATAATTTTGTAATGACGGGTGTTATAATATATATATCAATATACGATTTTATGATTAATTTTAAATGTGTATTAGATTATCTTAATATTATGTTTATTTATTTAGCGTATGGTTTATGGTTCATGCATTAGACTAATTATAATATGGTAAAGTACGGTAAATCTAATTAATTTATAACAGATAAATAAAAATAAAACAAAAATAGGGTAATTAGTAGTATTATAACTAATATTATGTTAACGATGATACACGAGTATCATTACAATCAGTTGAGCCAGGAGAATCACTTTTAGAAGCAAGGGTAACCTGCTGACTCCTAATCACTTTCCCTTTTGTAGTTTTCTGGCAGGTGGCACATACCAAGTGGTTTGGAATTATTTAACTATTCGACAACGTCAGGTTTCAAAGAAGCACAATCCGTGTGGTAAATGTTTTTTTACACATAGCACAAGATACAGAGTCACTTTGATTATGCTTTATTACTAATGAGCAAAGGCGGCAAGAAGCCATTGAACAGTTAACAATAATACAATTTAAAATTTTCGAATTTTACTGTTTTTACGCGTATAGGAAAAAAGTAATATTTCGATCCATCAACTACCATTGAACTCGGCTGTACGGTTATACCACGGTGGATGAGCTCGGTAGCGATTAAGCAGACAGGTGGACAGGCACTAGGCTGTTATCGGAACGATAACGGTGGGTTCGATAAAAATAAGTGTATAACTTATGTTTCTTCTGCGGTCTTGTGAAGATTATGAAAGCAATTTAGAATCAATGTATTCTATAACGAATAATGATAAACGTTCTTATCTCACGGCGGTTTGTCGTAGTAAAAACGCAATAACGGAGCACAATGAATAGACGACTATATCGAACAACGGCTGGGCTAGTACTATGTGCAATACTTCATGATTTTACATGACGTTAACTGATGTAAAACTGAAATAAAAATAATTTTTGTCATTTTTCGAATTAAGGTGGAATGAAAAATTGTACAAATTTATATTTATTATTTGACCATCAGAAATAAAAGAAGGTTGATACTGTATTAGGATAAAAGTTTGAAGGAATGATATAACATAGTGTCTTATTCTCCTAAACAACGAGAAACCATATTTTTGTTGATTTTTTTTTTAATAAGCGTTTTGAAATCAAATTTAAAAACATTTCGCGAAAAAAAAAATTGCTGCACTTCAAATTATATATTACTGAACTGCGCTCGGAATCGTCTTTTGTCGAGCAATGGTTATCGTTGCTTATAGATATAAATGAAATAACCTTATGTTATCTAACTTCCTAACTTCTCACCTACAACAGTGGCCGCTCCCATCTCCAGTATCAGCTCTTTTTTTTAATCATGATTGTCATACCAGTGCAACCAATAAAAAAATGAAAAACGAAACCCGAAATTCTTCACACGATACGCAGGCCACTATTGTTATTTAAAAATTTGGGAATATAGAGGGTAAATACAATGTGTATATCTATACTTATTTTTTTATAGTTTGTATATTGATATGGGAATTAAGAAATAATATTTAGTTGTATTACTTATAATAATATAGATATATATATTTAAGATTCTGTTTTATTTTGTTCATCTTAAATCTTGCGTCTATTTACATTTGCTGTAACAAAATTTTAGCTACACTTAAGTCATGATTTTAATAACCGTAATAAAATGAATTAAAATAATAATAATAATAATAAAATAAAAATTTAATAAACCTACAAAAATTAAGTATTTCAATAACAAACAAGACACTATAATGCGTAAAGCAATCCCTCTGATGTAATAATCGAAACATTGAAGAATAATGTGCAGGTATGCATATACTTTTTTTTTGATAGGGGTTATCAAGCAAAAGGTAAAACCATTTTTTCAGTTAAAAATATAAAAAATAAAACGTGTACGTTAAATCAATATTACGGAATTTGACGCAGTCGGTAGGATTTGTACGTTACGTACGTAAAAAAATCAATTTTAAAAAGCAAAATTTCTAAAAGAAAATATTTTTTAAAATTGTTGAAATTCAACAAAGCAACGTCGCGGAATGTAATCAGGATTACTGTTGAGCTTTAGGGAAACCTACAGTACCACCCAAATTTTGAAACTCCATGTACAACAGGAACCGAGTGACAGCCCAACCGCAGAAAAACAATCAAGAAGGAATAATGAACAGATGGAGCAATCAACATCGCCGCCTTACTGTGAGTTTATGTTATATTTTGAAGAATTATTGGGATTAATAATTATTATAATAAATTGGAATTTTTATGAAGTATTTTGGGGATTATCAATTAAAATTTATTTAAGGGTCGTATTTATATAAGTTTTATGGAAAATAATTTATTTTGTAATAGTGGAAAAAGTTTTGTAAACCTACGTTATTGATTTTATTAATATAATTGAGAATTTGTGAATCCAAATCGTGATAAAGAAAAATCACCTACCTTGGAATTAGTTACTCTATTGAAAAATAAAACCAGTAAATTAATAGAAGAACAGACTTAAATAGTGTAAAAGTAATTAAAAGTAAATTGAATACCTAAAGTAAAAGTGAAAAATTGATTAAAAGAAAATTTATTGACTAAAGTAAAAGAGAAAATGTATCAAAAGAGAATTAAGTACCTAAAGAAAAATTAAAAAGAATATAAAGGAATTGCAATTACAGAGTGAAAGTGATAGAATATGATAGTGAAAGTGAGAATCATCAGTTGACCAAAAATCCCAGAGAAAAATAATCACCCATAATCACCCGACAGAGCATGCCTGATTAGAATTTAAGCCAAAGAGAAAAAGTAGAATGGCAACAGAAATAAGTATGCAGTGGGAAGAAATAATGAAATTTATACACATTTGTAAGGAAGAAAAAGATATAGGTATTTGTTTTGATGCGTGTGAAATCGCAATCGGAGCAGTAGATCCAAAACAGATAACCTATATAACGAAATATATAGTAACTAGAATTTCAAGTAACATACACAATGTAATTGAAAATCGAGATGTATGTAAATGTAGTATTATAAAAGGATATTTGAGGAAAGTGTTTAATATCAGTATACGACTTCAGTGTTACACGCAGAATTAAATAGCATAAAAATACGTAATGGGGATATAGTATAAAAGTTGAAAATATATATTATAAGTTTTTTAATACTACCCATCGTAAGTAAATCCAAAGGGGGTGCAAAGGTATTGCGAGATGCTTGAAGGGAGCAAACTTTACGGGCATATATACGTGGATTATTAGATTCAATTAGAACTATTGTTGAGGCTATGAATCTAATAACTTTCGAACAGGCCAAACAAATGGCCCAGTCTAGAGAAATCGAGTTAGGTACCGAACAAAGAA